AACCAGACAAGTGAGCCTATTGCAGAGGAAAGGGACAATTTTAGTGGGAATATTCAAAGCTGCTAGAGAAAGAAAAGGGAAACTGTTCAAGGGAACAGTTTTAAAGGATTAAAAAGGATTTTAAAGGATTAAAAAATAAAATAATAATAAAAACTGGGCTAGGGAGATAGCTCAGCCACATAAGTTCCTGCCTGGCAAGCACAAGGTCCTGAGTTCAATCCCTGGTACCGCAAAAATCAATCAATCAATCAATCAATCAATCAATCTTCAAAAGAATTTTTTTAAAAAAACTCAAGACTATTCTAACCCTTTCCTCCTATTCAACAATTAAGTTAAACCTATAGAAAATGAGCATTTGCTAATGCTAAAGACAGGCACTAAGTCTAAGCAACTAAACTCAGAGTGAAAACAGGATCTAAGGATTGAGGATTAGCCATAGTTGATTTGCAGGCTAGGCAGCTGCTATTGGTCCAGCAGAGGGCGCCTCCCTGATGGGAAGGCCATAGTTCTCTGAAGCTGCCAGAAATCAGTGGGTTCCTCTACTGCCATTCAGGAAGGCAGTGACAGTTTCAAGGGGAATGACTCTCTAAAACCAAGAGGACCTGCGGACAGGGTATAGAAAGGTGGGTCTGGCTTCATAGGTGGCCTCCACCTTCAAATGATGCCTGTTGCTTCTTGTCTTTCAGACTCAACTTGTTCTACAGAAGCCATCTCAAATCAGCTTAAATTTTAAACATTGAATGTGATCAAATCTATGTGGTTGTGATACTTCTTCAGTAAATACTATACAGGCTTTACCATAAATTTTTGTTTTTACCTTTTCCTAATTATTATTTCAAAAGGATGAACACTTTCTCTAACTCCTGACCATTGTAAAATACAATTTATATAAATCACATTGAAGAGATAGCTCATTGGACTAAGCGCCTGCTTAGGCAAGTGCAGGGACCAGGGTTCAATCCCCAGCACCACATGCTACACCGGCTCCGCCCTGAGGTGTGCTGAGACAGCCATTGAGACCAGGCATGGTGGCACACACCTGTAATTCCAGCGCCGGGGAGGCTGAAAACAGGAGGATCACCACAAGTTCAAGATATATAGTGAGACCCTGTGCCAAATAATTTTTTTTAAAACAAATATCACATTGAAAAGAATGCCCTGGAATAGAACATCTCAAATGCTGTTTATAGATTCAGGTTTATTACTCATTTTTCACATAATGTTCCTCCAAGTTAGACATCTTATGGTGCAAGACCAACTGGAAAACCATGCAATTATTACAAGTACAAACTGACAGTGCAAATTCATAAGCTCTCAACTTTCAGGGTAGTCTGTTTTCTATGTCTGATACTAGAAACTAATTTGGAGAGAGAGAGAGGGAGGAGGAGGAGGAGGGGGAGGAGAGGAGAAGAAAGGAAGGGAAAGAAGAAGGGAGGGAGAGGGGAGGGAGGGAAAGGGGAGGGAGGGTTGGAGGAAGGTGGGAGGAAGAGGGGAGGGAGGATGGGAGGGGAGAGACAGAGAGAGAGAGAGAGAGAGAGAGAGAGAGAGACAAGACAGAGAGACAGAAAAAGAGAGAGGAGAGGAGACAGAGGAGAGAGACAGAGAGAGAGACAGACACAGACAGACAGGTGAGAGTGGAAAGGAGAGAAAGGAGAGAGGAGAGAGGAGAGAGGAGGAAGGAGGGAAAGAGGAAAGAGGAAAGCAAGGAGAGAGGAGAGAGCAAGCAAGCAAGAGAACACGCTAAATAAGCAAGTCTTAGACAACTTTCTTTTAACAATACATGAGATTTTTATTTAGTGAAGACAATATTTGCAATTTTAACAGCCAAAAACCCTTCAGTTATACTGTTCACTTTGCAACAAAATATCAGTAGATATTTTGATATCAACAGAATATTCATGCAAGTGGTAGAGGGTATATACATTGAAAAACAAAATACTCCAGAAATCAATATATGTACATTATTTACATATTAACTATATTTAAGTAATAGAAATGTTTTCAGAGGAAAAAAATGAGAAATCATGACTTGTAGTTTCTGGTCTATAATAGACTTCTCAGCAAAGCATATCAGTGTAGATATCTGCATTTCTAACCTTGAAAATAGGCACTGCATTATATGAAGCATTAAATGCTGCTTCACCTAAAAACAGCTCTTACTCTGAGTCCATTGGTGAAGTCCATGTTAAACTACTAGAAAGTGTGTCAGGACCCCAGGGATGTGGAGGCTTATGTGGGTTCAGGGTCACTCTAAATAAACCTCAAAAAATAACCAGGGCCCAGCAAGACAGCTAGGGGCTGTGGAACTGCCATCTCCCGCCTAGGGTCCTCAGAACTGTGGGCCGTCCTGTGTCTCCATAGGAAACTTTGTCTTTGGCCAGAGCTGGGACTGACAACTCAAGACTGAGTGCAGCCCTTCAGTGGGGCAGGTGATGAGCATGACTGAGCCCCACTATCCTGTAGTGGGAGGGGTCTGAGTCTGCAGACCTTGGTGGAGGCCAGGTACACAGCAGGATGGCAGACACCCTTAGGGTTAATACTGTCACAAGAAAACCTGGGGTTGGGTGACTCAATGTAACACTCTTGATAGGGCAAGTCACTTAAGATTCTGAGCACCAGGGCCTTCTGCATGCTCCTGGGTGAATGGTCTTTGGGCAGAGCTGGCTCATAGTTGACCATGGTGATGAAAGATTCACTACCAGGTGATCCATGTTGACTTCTGTCAACACACTAAAACAGCTCCACATCCCCAGGGCCATACCTGGGTTAGATGATCAGAAGAGAAGAAGCTACTCATTCCCATGTGAAGTACTGACCCAACCCTGCTGCAGTCCCTG